AAAAAAAAAAATTGGTGATTGTAAATGACCATAGATAGGAAGGAAAAGGGAGAGTGCTATAGCCTTGTGATTCTCTAACTTCTCTATGTATCCGAGTCAACTGGAGAGCCGGTTACAACAGATTTCTGGGGCATCCGGGTGGCTCAGTTGGTTAAGCCCAATTCTTGATTTCAGCTCAGGTCGTGATCTCCCGGTTCCTGAGCTGGATCCCTGCATTGGGCTCTGGCCTAACAGCATGGAGCCTGCTTGGAATTCTGTCTCCCTGTCTCTCCCCTGCTGTTCCCTCTCAAAATAGATAAATAAACTTAAAAAAACAAAAAACACAGATTTCTGGGTCCTACCCACCCCCGAGACTGCAATTGCATTTCTCCCTGGCGATGGTGCTGGATGTGCTGCAGCTGGTCTGTGATTACACCTGGAACAGCATTGTCTTCTATCTTGATGAACAATCTGTGCAAAGTCCTAAGGCTGAGAGAGCTTGGATTTTTCTTGGAAGTATTTTGTGATACTAGTGTTAATAGGCCTGCCAGAGACTTAGATGGAAGCTAAATCATGAAGTGCTTCAAAAATAAGCTGAGTTTGGACTTTACTCTGAGTGCAATGAGAAGCCACCTAGTTATGCATACAGCTACCTGGGGGTCCCTGGGTGGTGGCACGGCAGAGGCCAGATCTCACTGGTCCGCTCCTGGGGGATCTGGGGAGGTAGTAGTGGTGATGATGACTGCACCACAGCTGAGGACACCAGAAGGGGCAGGAGATTGGAAAAAGGTCAACAACAAAAAGAGACACTTCCATGTTTACCCTAAGGCAAGGCCATCCTAAAGGAGTTGCAGTTCAAAGTCCATGATGTCTGTGAGAGTTAATGTTATATATTACCTTTGAGGGCACTTTGGGATAACACTGACATTTAAATCAGTAGACTTAGCAGATTGTGCTCCATAATATAGGTGGGCCTCATCTAATCAGTTGAAGGCCTGAAAAGAATAAAAAGACTGGCCTTCTTGAGCAAGAGGAAGTTCTTTGAACTTCACCTGCACTGTTGACTCTCCTGGGTTACAAGCCTGCCAGACCACACCGCGAATTTGGGGCTTGCCAGCTTTCATCATTGTATGAGCCAGTTGCCAATGTTTTAAAACAGACAAATCAGATCCTCAGAATAGGAGGGCCATTGGAGCTTGTTTTCAAACAGCTACCCTGAAGTTCCAGGAAAAGAAATCATAGCTTTGGCCTTGAAGGGAGTTAAATACCAACAGCAGGCCCACCTTTACTCCATTTCTTCTGTTCTCCCAGGAGAGGAAAGCTAGGCACGTGACCAGTTAAACCATCAGGCAGTTGACTCTGCACCTGTCATGAAGCAGGGCTACCTTGAGAAGAATGCATAAAGCCTGAGGGTATCGGGGAAGTCTTACCTTGGAAATTCTTCCCAGGATGCAGAGATATATGGGGAGTTGATAGACCAGCTCTTTTTGTCAACAGCTAAAGGATAGGTCTATTTTTTTGTTTTCTAGCCTTTATTTTTTGTCTTGAAAGTGCCTTGTGTTGTAGAGCCAAGTTAGGGAAAACTGAAATAAGCCTTAAAAATTTAGGCTAATTTAGAAGCCGGGCATGGATGCTCTATGTGAGTTTGCTAAACTGATGAGTCCCTCTGAGGTTTACTGAGGACTCCTCTGCCTCCAAGTTAGCTGGGCGGCTGGGCCGCTTAGTCCCCCCCTCCGCCCCCCACTTGTCTCCACCTGTGAAATGGGAGTGGCAGGCAGAACAGACTCCAATTCTGAGGCTGCCGCATGTCTAAACTCTGATTCTAGAAAAAGGATCAGATAAATTTTTGCTCCTATATAATTTCGCCCACCATGAGTCCTACTCCTTGCCAGTAACATCTCAGGGACCCAAGACCAAGCTGCTTATGCGCTCCTTCAAGTGACTGGAAATAGAAATGCTACTCAGGAGGGGTGGAAGTTAGTCTTTTACACACACACACACACACACAAATTACTTTTCCAAACTTCAGTTTATATTGGCATTGTGCAGTGAAATGTTTCTTTTTTAGTCTTTTAATTTTATTTTAGAGACAGAGAGTGAGAGCCCAAGGGGGGGGGGGAGAGGGAGGGAGGGAGGGAGAGAGAGAGAGAGAGAGAGAGAGAGAGAGAGAGAGAATGAAGAGAAAATGAATCTTAAGCAGTTGACATGGGGCTCACAGGGCTTGATCCCATGACCCTGGGATAATGAACTGAGCTGAAAGCCAGAGTCAAACGCTCAACCAACTAAGCCACCCAGGTACCCCTCTTTTTTAGTCTTTACTTAAATATAGAGAATCTGACAATTCTCTGTCAAAAACTTTGCATGGGGCTGACAAAACTGGAACTATTACTCAAATTAAAAATGTGTTCAGGGCGCCTGGGTGGCTCAGACAGTTAAGCCTCCGACTTCACCTTGGGTCATGATCTCACAGTGTATGTTCGACCCTGGAGCCTGCTTCAAATCCCGTGTCTCCCTCTCTGCCCCTCCCCTGCTCACAGTCTGTCTCCCTCTCAAAAATAAACATTAAAAATTATTTTTTAAAAAAACTGTTGTGTTCAAAAGTCTCTTCTGATTGATGTTAGTAGAAAAACGTAAGTATAAATAAAATATACCAAAAAAAAGACGAAGTGACCCTGAGGATGCCCCTAAGCACGGGACATCTGGTATTGACAAGTATACTGGACAAAATTCACAGGACGAACCTGACAATCTGTTCTCAAAGCAGCTCATCATCTGGGGGCGGGGCGGACATCTCTGACAAGACAGGCGGGGCAGGGTGTGTGTGTGTGTGTGTGTGTGTGTGTGTGGACATCTCTGACAAGACAGGCGGGGCAGGGTGTGTGTGTGTGTGTGTGTGTGTGTGTGTGTGTTGGTCTGCAGTTCCAAATTCCTGGAATGCAGGTGCATACCGGGCTAAAATTCCTTGCCGCAGGGTTGCTGGTACTTGAAATACCTCACCTGTTCCGGAGGGAGGAGCATAGATCCACGGAGTGGACAGAACTCCCCATCCCGGCAGCATGGCTGATGGCCGAGCCTGGTTTCTGTTCGGTTGTGGCTTCTGGACGCCCCCGGCTCCAGTTCGTCAGGCTTACACCGTTGGAATCAGTGACACATGTCGCTAACTGACTTGGTGCAAAAGTTCTAAGCCACCATTAGAAATGTTTTTAAAAGGCCATCCATTACTGAATGAAACCACAAAATCATCAGCATAAATGTCTAATTTCAGGCTACTTCCATTTAGGGGAAAAGAGGTTTATTGTGTTTTTTTTAAAATTTTTTTTTAAATTTATTTCTGAGAGAGAGAGAATGAGAGACAGCATGAGCAGGGGAGGGTCAGAGAGAGAGGGAGACACAGAATCTGAAACAGGCTCCGGGCTCTAAGCTGGCTGTCAGCACGGAGCCCGATGCGGGGCTCGAACCCACGAACTGCGAGATCATGACCTGAGCCGAAGTAGGACGCTTAACCGACTGAGCCACCCAGGTGCCCCAGAGGTTTATTGTTAATGTTTATTTAATACTTAACTATGAGCCAGGCACCTGTACTAAGGTCTAGACTTGGACTTACTCATTACAGTACTTAGAAACTTCCACCTCCACCACTTTCTAACTGAAGAAACTAACTAACTGAAGCGAGGGGTAATTAAATACCTTGGACAACGTCACAAAGCTGGTGAGTCAGGATTCAAACTCAAGAGGATGCCAAGACTTGCCCTCTGGACTATCTTTTTATGAAGCATCTATTTTAGGGACACCTGGGTGACTCAGTTGGTTAAATGTCTGACTTTGTAAAAATTTGTTAGTGTTTATTTATTTTTGAGAGAGAGAGAGAAAGAACAAAGAACAAATGAGCAGGGGAGGGGCAGAGAGAGGGAGACAGAATCCCAAGCAGGCTCCATGCTGTCAGCACAGAGCTGTGGGCAGGGCTCAAACCCACCAAACCATGAGATCACAACCTGAGGTGAAACAGTCTGACGCTCAACCAACTGAGCCACCCAGGTGCCCCGAAAGATCCGACTCTTGATCTCAGCTCAGGTCTTGATCTCAGGGTGCTGATCTCAGAGTTGTGAGTTTAAGCCCCAAGTTGGGCTCCATGCTAGACATGTAGCCTACTTAAAAAAAAAAAAGGATATACACACACACACATATACATATATATAGAGAGAGCGAGCATCTATTCTAACACCTGGCAACATACTTGGCATGAGATAGCTATTAATGGATCCCAGATTTCTTAAAAAAATTTTTTTTTAATGTTTTATTTATTTTTGAGAGAGACAGCGTGAGCAGGGGAGGGTCAGAGAGAGAGAGAGAGAGAGAGAGAGAATCTGAAGCAGGCTCCAGGCTCTGAGCTAGCTGTCAGCACAGAGCCCGACGCGGGGCTCGAACTCATGAACCATGAGATCATGACCTGAGCCAAAGTTGGACGCTTAGCCGACTGAGCCACCCAGGCGCCCCAATGGATCCCAGATTTTAATAGGACTGGAAACCTTTGTGAAAAGTTGGATTCCCCCCACCCCGCTCCATCATTAGGGAACAAGGAGCCTGAAAAAAAGCCAAATCAGTTGGAGAAACTGCACTTTTTCATATATAATAAGCCTCGATTTGCTCTTTCGGCAACTATACTTATAATCTTTGGAAACAACTTACACATACGTTCGGCAGTTTTATTTTTCCTGATTTACTTCCCTCTCATGCAAGAACTCCAATTACTATACTTGGATTCCCCAAATGATGAGGACAAAACAATACATGTGGCTATGACAGAAATACTTTTTTCAAAACATTCTCATCTTTGTGTCCTCTTGGCTTGTGAGTTCTGATGCAAAGAAGCATTTTTTTGCAAGGTGATTACTTAGAGACAGAACCAGTTATGAGAATTTGGGTTAATTTCCTGCAGTAAAGAGTATGGAGCACAAGTCCTTCATCAATAGACTTCTAGTGCCATGACCCAAGAGGATTGTGTGTATGAGACACAACAACAGTGTATTTTTTCAAAATGTCTATTTAATGGCCATTCCATCAAAATCAAGCAGAATCAGATTTCAAAAGTATTACACGAAGCCTTACATGTGGGTGTGTGTATGCACACACGTACTTGTTATGTTAAGGTGCAACTTCAAGTTTTATTTGAGCTTCATTGCTTCGTGGCTGCCTCAGGTGTTTTATAGGTACAATTAGCATAGAGCTTCTGAAGCTGATAGCTTCCCGTGCACTAAAAGACAAAATCCTAATGACACTGCATATCTTGAATACGTTAGAAATTCCAAAAGCCATATGTAACTTCAGAAAAGACCAGTCATGAAAGACATTTTCAACATAAAATTTAGGCACTCTATACTTTGGAATAGCCACAGAATATTCCAACAAGAGTTAATGCACTTTGTGATTACATCTACTCAAAGATAATTCTCAAAATCTGTAATTATTAAATAATATTTTAAATTAGAGCCCATTACATGTTGATGATTACTGGGAACCGATTGCAGCATAGTGTTTTAGTCAAAGATGCTACACTACTTCAGTGACTGATTCTGGTACTCCTCTTTTATGGTACATTGTTTACAGAAGAACCTACAATATTCACTGATAAGCATCTCCCCCATTTTCCTGTGATACTACCTAAGAACGCCCCTACTCAAATTTTAAGGTATTTTTGTATTTTCTGCGGCAGTTGCTTTGTTAGCATGGAAAACTTTAGCAAATGGGGGACTTCCTGAAGATCAGGAAGCATTAACCAAGTACCCATCCCTAATTCTTAGGCTAAGTTCATTTCCACCGTCACTTTGTGGCTGAGCATGTTGCTCTATCCCTATGTTTCTACAGATTGTACTGCTAGATTGACCGGTATGGAGCCAAGGGGAAGGATTCTCAAATTTGTCACTCTACTTTGCACAAGTCCAAGGCCACCCAGACCTCATCTGACTTGAGGCAAAACTTACTGATCTCTACAGTGTGGTTGTGAGGTTTTCATCTCCTCCTCTGAAGACTGAAGGGTGGGAATGATGCCTGCCTACTGAGATGCCATTAACTCCAGATGAACTTCCTGGACTTGAACATAATTTAGCATGGTTAGAATCCAGAACATGGATGCTAATTTTTCCTGTTGAGAAGAAGGTGCATTTTCTCAGTGGCATACATTTATGTAGCTAAGAAAACAATCAGAAAGCCTTCCAGAGTCTTCACATTATAGTCTGCATATTGACTCATCATAATCACCAATGACTAGTTTATGAGGATCCGCCAGGGAAACGAATTTGAGACTTACTTGACTATAAGTCTGCAGAAAAGAGCACAAGTAATTTCCCACAGGAGAACAGGGTATTTCATCATGGGGATCCATGGTAAGTTAATTATACTACTAATGTTTTCTGCCATACTCGAAGAGACAATTAGCATAAGTAAATCATGAGTGAGATGACAAGGTGCTGAATGTTCGTTTCTGTTCATCAGCTACCATGTGAGCTTGCTGTTAAGCCTCTGAGTGAGGAGGAACGGGCAGGGAAGGGCACGAGGAACGAGCAGTTGTTAACTTTGGTCTCAGCCAATCTAATCAGAACCAGTTACTATTAGTGGATAAACATGGATGTTAGATGCAAATCAGAGAAGACTCATTCGAGTTTTAGAAATTAACCTCACCAAGGGGTAACAGCTGATTGGGGAAATGCACATGAAACCTAGCCTCCTCTCCTGAGCAGAGAGGGTGAGACAGTAAACGAAAGAGGATTCTAGTGGAGGCTGCTTTTCATCCTCTCTCAGGGCTTCATCTTCCTATGGATATTCTATACATCTCTCTTGTGATTAGGACCCGAGGCTCATGACAGCACAGTTAAGATTACAGTCCCTTTCTGGCATTTGAGAATGGCCACAGCTTGCTCATGAGTGACACCTTCCAGGGTCTCGCCATTAACAGCTAAAATCTGATCACCTCGCTTCAACCGGCCGTCATCTGCAGCTGCTCCCTACAAACAAGAAACATTCCAATTTAATCCAGGACCATGCATTAACAATAATATTAATATGAGGTGTGCTTATGAAAAGAGGAACTTTAAAAACTACCAGTTAAAGTCATTTCTAGGTAATGTTTTTAAACTAAGAAAATTCAGAATATAGGATGTGTTATTTGAATAATGGTTGAATAGTAACCATAATTATGCATTGCTTAAATAACATACTAGTAGAAATGTACTGACATTCACATTTCTTTTAATACACGTAGGACCTTATTTCAATATTTAGTACTGAATGGAGTTTGAATGTCATATTCATGAATACATAATATACTGACAAAGGCAGAACTGAATCTGGTGCTAAGTCGTGTTGCCAGTACCATCATTATATAGGGCTCCCATTGCATTATTATCAGCACTACAGTGATTGGTCAAAAATAAGTGTAGCCTTGGGGCGCCTGCTGGCTCAATCAGTAGAGTATGAGACTCTTGATCAGGTTCAGGAGTTCGAGTTCCATGTTGGGTGTAGAGATTACTTAAACAAACAAAAAAAAGTGTAGCCTCTAAATGGGGTGAATTGGATGGTATGTGAATTATATCTCAATAAAGCTGTTCTATAGATAAATACACAAAGGGTAGCATCTCTGAAGTTTTGCAGTTTCATACACAAAAGCTTCCACTCATCTTTGATCAGTTAGGGTTCTAAATGACTACTTTCATTGTATACTCAGTCATGCATAGATCCTCAAAATTGCACAAAGCAAGCGAAACTTGGGCTTTTTAAAATTCTAAAGCCACATATCTAAAACTAGATATTACTGGAAATATTTTGGATGAGTAAGGAAAGAAAAAACCTAGAAAAAGATTTGCAGGAGGCTTTCTCCCTCTGTTGGGGTAGCTGTGAAAATCCCTTAAAACATTAGTGCTGGAAGAATCTTTTTTTTTTTTTAATGTTTTATTTATTTCTGAGAGAGAGAGAGCAGGGGAGGATCAGAGAGAGAGGGAGACACAGAACCCAAAGATAAGCTCCAGGCTCTGAGCCAGCTGTCAGCACAGAGCCCGATGTGGGGCTCGAACCCACAAACCGTGAGATCATGACTTCAGCCAAAGTCGGAAAGTCGGACGCTTAACCAACTAAGCCAACCAGGCGCCCCTGGAAGAATCTTCTAAATGATGTGTAAGTGCTGGGGAGAATATAAGGCACCCTGTCCTGACTGACTCATTCAGAGGGCACACTCAGAGGCACTAACTAAAGCTTCAGAGACTGGTGTCTATCTGCAGCATGGAGGTTCTGAGGTGATGGGTGAATTATCTAGAATTTCAAAACTGTGGAAATGGTGGAATTCTGATAAAGGTCTAATAAAGAATATTCAAAACCATGTCTGTACTGGGGGCAAATACCAAAATTAAATAACTTGTGACTTTATTCAAATTTTTTTTTCTTTTAAAACTATTTTAACTGTAACACAGACAAGATGAAACAACTTGTGGATAAAATCAGAATTACTTAGTGAACTTGATTTTGTTAAACGCTACAGGCTAAGATTTAAGGGCTTTAGGAAACCTCAGATACCTGTGTAATTTTTTTAAAAAGCATGTTAAGTTTTTCAAGTTTTCATTTCCAATAATGCAAAACAGGATGACTTTTCAACTTTCTGCGATGTGTACATTCTTTAAAAATTTTTTAAAAAATGTTTATTCATTTTTTTGAGAGAAAGAGAAACTGTGCATGTGTGAAAGTGGGAGAGGGAGAGAATCTGAAACAGGCTCCAGGCTCTGAGCTGTCAGCGCAGAGCCTAATGTGGGGCTCGAACCCACAAACCATGAATGAGTTCATGACCTGTGCCGAAGTCAAGACTTGGACCCTCAACTGACTGAGCCACAAGGAACCCCCCAAATTTATTTCTTAGTTGAGCAAGAGAAGTATTAAAAGAAGCTTAGGGACACTAAAAAGGTCACATAAAAATTCACACCCTGTGGGCGTCTGAGATCCAGAAACTTGAGAAGACAAACATTTTAAGAATATATGTTCATTGTTGAAAAATAGGGAAGACATATAGCTATTGTTTCTACATCTTCAAAATTCCTATAGGGGAAATGTTTAGCTTAGTGTCAAAATTCATTTATATGATGGACTTCACCATTGGGAAAAAAGAAAACCTTGGGGTGCCCGGTGGCTTAGTCAGTTAAGCATCCGACTCTTGTGTGGCTCAGGTCATGATCTCATGGTTCGTGGGATTGAGATCCACATCGTACTCTGCACTGCTTGGAATTCTTTTTTTCTCTCTCTGCCCCTCCCCTGCTGGTTGTCTCTCTTGCTCTCCTCAAAATTAAAAAAGAAGAAAAAAGAAAAAAGAAAAAAAAATTCTTTTGCCGGTTTTTGGTTTACTGATTGTCTAAAGAGAACCTATAAATTTGGATACAGTGGTTCACTCTAACAAATGAAAAAAGAAAAAGTCATCAAATGAGAGTGCATTATAATAAACTCTATGGAACTAATAATTGTTTGCACTAGAATATTCTTTTATTGAGACTGAACTAAGTAGGCCATTCGCTAGAGCTTTAGAAGTTTTTCTTTTTTTTTTAAAGAGCTTCTCATTTTTAGCTGTGCCTCACTTTACAAACAAGGGTCTATTACTTAAAAATAAAACATACCAAGGATGTTCAATATTTCCTACAATGTTACTACTTGCACAGCTACTTTCTAAATGAGCACCTTCAATGAGGGCCTTTGAAAGGAGATTCTGTGGGAGCTTCCAGCACATTCACTATCCCCCACTGCTTTGTCCCACTGTGATTTGATGGTGGTTTCTTTTCAAAAACCCACCAACACACACGGCCATTTCATCCTCTGCTATATGTTCTGGTGACCTGGCAAAGGGTGCCTGGCCTGGTCCCGCTATCTAGAAGTTGTCTAGATGGGCATGGCCCGTGTGGCTGCAGGTCAAAAGGCCTGAGAAGCGAACCAGTCCTCTGATCCACCCCCACTTATAAGTAAGCAGGGGATTACAAACATTCTGCAAGGGCTTTAGAGAGGCACAGGCAGGGAAGTAGAATGTGTTTTTCACTATTCTTATGTATATCATGGCTCTTTTAAAAACAAAGTATAGGGGCGCTGGGTGGCTCAGTCAGTTAGGTGTCTGACTTTTGGTTTTGACTCAGGTTGTGATCTCACGGTTTTGTGAGTTCAAGCCCCACATAGGGCTCTGTGCTGGAGGTGTGGAGCCTGCTTAGGATTCTCTCTCTCCCTCTTTCTCTCTGCCCCTCTCCAACTCATGCTGTCTCTGTCTCTCTCAAAAATAAATAATCTTAAAAAACAAATAAAAGCAAAGTATAGTAATGACCCCACAGAATAATTATCACAACTACTTACAGTGTCATTTTAGGAAAAGAAGGGACTTTCAGTGGCTCACCACCTTGGGCGTTATCAGGCTGGGGCAGTACTGTTATTCAGAATGTTCCTGATCTGCTTTCCCTCTCCCCTTTGGCCCATCACTGAGTCAACAGATGTGTGTGTTTGGGAATAACACGTTTCCTTAATAGACACCCTAGCCAATTGGAAACAGGTGGGTAAATCTGCGGCTAATGTGTTCTAAAAGGAAACGCCAAATGACTTAAGAATTATGTCAGGTCATGGTTAGGCTCAATTAACAGGTGATAAGAGCTACATAGGTAAAAGTGAACTTTTTATTTAGTGTAGAGTATAGCTTTCTAGAAAGAGAATTTGCCTTATTTCTTCTTTCAAAGACCTTTATTTCCTTAGGAACTAAGAGCAGTAGGAGACCATCGGATCAATTAATAAACAAACAACTGTTTGTTTCATTGGTGATAAAACCAGTGAAGAATAAAGTTGTACTAGCAATACTAAGTCCTTTTCAGAGATCTTCCAAATTGATAATAAACTTGAATTCCAACTTTAAAAGTCACAATAAAGTTAAAAGTAACTTAGCTAAGAGCCATCTAGAGGCAGCAATCGGAATGGACACCATGACCTATGTATCAAGTAGGATGTGATGGATTATTTAATTCCTGAAAAAACACTATTATCCAGCCGGAGGCTAAGTTAGTGGGCTGATCCCACAAGTACTCAGCAGAGGACTGGAAGAGAGAGAGCAACTTAAGGGATAAGGTCCTGAGATTTCTAGCGACGTACAGCCATTAAAGCTGCACTGACCCGAGGCTTGTCCAGAGCTTTCTGCCTTGGCCCTCTGCTGTCATCTTTTCTTGAAGGAGAAAGCCAAACTTTGATTCTAGCCCAGAATAACACTTCCAAGGCCAGGTCCCAAAGAGCCCGGCACTGCTCCTTATGTTGTGTTGTTGAAAGAAGACAATCTTTAAAATTGACTTCTGTAGTAGGGTCCACAGGAAATTACACTTCTTGTGACTCCACTGTTAGAACTCTTTGTTTCACTAGTCTGGTGTGGGAATGTCCTACACAAGGTTAAAATGCAGTAAGCACACAGCACACACCCAGGTATAGCTAAAAGTAAGCAAAGCACAGCACTTAAAAAAAAAATCTCACCTAGGTTAAAAAGAAAAAAAAGTACAGTAAAAAGGAAAAAAATACCTTTGCAAATATAGTCTTGACATAAATTGGCAGGTCTCCATGGGGACTTCCATAACCCCCTACAATACTAAACCCCAATCCTTCAGAGCCTTTCTCCAAAGTAATAATCTTAGGTGGAGGTGTTCTGAAAACACAATGCACGCTGTTTAATTCAAGAATAGATATTGAGAGGGAATTTCATTTTAATGGAAGAACACAGATTTGAGAGAGACTTTCATACTGCGAAACTATGAAGGCCAGTTTATCAAATCAAACTCTCAGCAATCAGAAACTTATTTTTACATTTCTTGTGTCATGTGGGACTAATGATCGATGGCTTAATGACTGGATGTGTTACGGGGTGTTCTCTTTCATAAAACGCACTGTTTTTTAATGAAAAAGAAAGTCATGATGCTCAAGTTGTTAAAGCAGCCATCTGTATGCTTGGCTTTTAACTTTCAAGCTTACTGTTTAAAGCTGAATGGAACACTCTTTATGTCCTTAAGGAATATGCATGGGGACTGAGAGGTGGGGTATCACCTTAGCTGAGCGGCAGACCCCCAGCCTGCAGGTGGGCTTCTCTCCACAGCAGGTGTCGGCAGCCCGGTGGCTCAGCCGCTCCTTTTCTGGCTACCTACCACTTCCACCTAGGGAACCTGGGGTGGGAAGTCCTTCTTCAAAGCCCACGTCCAAGGTGATGCCTTTCTGACTCCCTTGGAGGATTAGCCAGTCCTCCTTTGCGCTCTCTTTGCTCTTGGTCCAGATTTCCAGTACAGCACTTGTCAGAACGTGGCGTGATCGCTTCGCCATCTTTCTCTTCTACCAGACTATGAACTCCTCACGTCCCTGTCATCTGAGTATTCCTGGCAGTATGCACTGTGCTTGTCACCAACTCAGGATCATGACTGTGTACATGGGAAGTGGAATCCAGGAAAGAAGAGAGAAACCAAGGAGAAGCGAAATGGATACAGGCAATCTGTTTCAAATGGGCAATTTAGATTTTCAAAGTTTCGTCCAGTGTGGAAGTCTTCTCTCTTAGAAACAACATGGCTAAAAATTAAATCATCTACGTGGGTTCAAGTAGTTTAAGCTTAGCTAATGCCAATTTTTCCTTCCCAAACGCCCTTGTCCAAAGGGTAGAAACCTAAAGGCACTCCGGTACCCCAGACCCTGCCATCTTATTTGAAGGATGCTCATTTTTATATAGTGGAGCCACACCTGTGTCGTGGCAGCATGCGTGTCCGGGGCACAGAGCCATGTGATACAAACTCAGCCACTCATGTACTCAGAGAAATCTGCAAACCTGGGATATGAGCAACCTTTGAATATGCCACTCTGTCTAACTAGAATATTCTTCCCTCTCTCCTGCCTCAATTTCACCTGGCTCTTCTTCGGGTTGATGTTCAGCAGGTTCACCCCGATGCTGGTTGTTTGTGGATGTACTTACTGGTTGTCTGTAGCAGGCAAGCCAGGCCAGATAAATCGCTAGCTGCTTTGAATGCCACTCCTGCTGATTCCAATCATTTTAAAACTAAGCTGAGGCATTAGGGTCTCCAAGCGCACCCCTGACTGAGTTGTGCCATGCTGTTATGGTTTCACAGGACCCTGTGCCCGTGGGTCCCTCCCATGGAACTTGGCTCCCCAATACTTATCAACTCTTAGAAACATGGATTCAGGGGCCTGTTTTCCCAATTCTCTGGCAGCTTCTTGAGGACTGGGGCAACGCCTTCACCTATGCTTTGCACTTTGAATCTCCCAAATCCAGTCCTGGACAGTGTCTGGCCTTAGGAAGGTGCTCAATAAATGACTGCTGAAAAATGATGAATTATTGCCTAGGGCCAAATGGTAAGACCTCATGAGTAAGGCTCTACATTTCGTGACTTTGTGGCCTTGTTAATTATTCTTAGTAATGGCCCACTGGCCAGACATGAATTTGATTCATGTTACCGCCTGCAAACACAGTCCCCAACCCCCCATCTCTAAGCATATTGAAATGGGAATTGAGGTCCAAAGTACGGTTTTAGAGTTAGGCCCTGGGAGCCACCAAATCATTAGAGACCCTCATAATTGCGCGTCTTCACTATCAGAGACCTGTTTTCAGGGGGAGAGTGAGGAATTCAGTTCCACTCATCAGATGGGCTTTGCCTCCATTTACCTCACATTTTCAATTAGTTTTATTTTACTTTCATATAGAAGACTAATAAAAAAATCTCCAAATGTTAACAGTGGTGGGATTATAAATCATTTATAAATTCTTTTATGCTAGGGGCACCTGGGTGGCTCAGTCGGTTAAGTGTCCCACTTTGGCTCAGGTCACGATCTTGCAGTTTGTGGGTTCAAGCCCCACATCAAGTTCTGTGCTGACAGCTCAGAGCCTGAAGCCTGCTTTGGATTCTGTGTCTCCTTCTCTCTCTGCCCCTCCTCGACTCCTGCTCTGTCTCTCTTTCTCTCAAAAAATAAACATTAAAAAAAATTCTTTTATGCTAGTGGTTTCCAACTTGCCAGGAGCTGTGCAATTATACCAAAGGAATCAAGATTATAAGGGCACTCTGTATTTCCATAGGGACATCAAATGATGCTAAAACTGCACTAACTACTCTTTCTATAAGGGCCCTGAATTTTTTTTTTTTTTTTTTTAGGAAAAGGCCATTGTAACTTAAAAATGTCTTAATTTTATGTGTTTGTCATATTTTAATAGCATGCATTTATTACTTTCATAAGAAAAAAGTAAAAAGCTTAGATTAGTATTCTTTCCTAAAAAAAAAACAATCTCAAAGATGTAATTGTAAGCTACCAGGAAAAAGTTGGAAATGGTGGTGATCAGCAGATCTTTCTAATGAATCATTCAGATCAGTCAACAAGCATTTATTGAGCACATACCGGTGACCAGGCACTGGCAGTACTGAGAGCAATAACTTCAGGAGACATTTCTCAAAGTACAGATCCTCTGCCTATCGGTAGCAAAACTGCCCTGGGGAATCCACTGTAGCCCACCTAGTCAGAATCTCTGAGAATGGGGTCCGAGAAATTAGCATTTTAAAATATGCTCCTTAGATACCGAACACCCACATTCTAGTTTGAGAGACACTGCTTTAATGAACAATTTTAACCGCAATGACTGGTTTCAATAAAGAATGCCAGGAGTATAACAGTAAGATTTAATCTCGGAACAAGGTTTTAGCTTAGAAAACATAGTTCCTTGCATAATAAAGCAGGGTGCACCCAAGCTGTAAATGTGGGATTTCTTAGGGAAGAAGGCACCGTGTCAAAGCAACCAGATGTAGTGTGTGTGCTGGCCCTGGGACAGCGGTCTCTTGAGAAGTCCTACGTGAAGCAAAGCCTGGCAAGATATCAGGAAACCTGGTGTGCTCTTGGTGATTCTCTAGGAGTTAGAAAAGGTAATGTGTACTTCCCCCTCTTCTGTAGAGAACACTCTAGATTCTGGAAAAGGTTTCACTGAGCCTTGCCCACACAGGTAAAAGGTACTCTGCATCTAGATACTCACTCAGTGTCTTCTGTATGGTGTTCAGCAGTGGGAGAACCAAGATGGTAGCTTGCAGACATGTTTTCAAGCTGAGTTGCTATGGCGCTTATATTGGTATCTGCTACAACCTGGGGGGAAAATTAGAACAGAAAGATCCACTGTAAGTCAGGAGGGAATCGGAGAAACCATACTACATTCAATGGTTGGTTCTCATCCTCATGCTATTCAGACTATCTGCAGCATTTGACACAAATGGATTATTCTCTCAAATGATTTTCTTCATTTGGCTTCCACAACACCATACTTTACTGGTTTCCTTTCTACCTGCTGGCTATTCCTTCATATATCCTAAACCTCTATTACAGTGCCATAGGGCTCAGTCCTCAAGTTTCTTATCTCTCCCATCTAAATATCACCTTAGTTATCTCCTCTTAACTCATCTCATCCCACTTGATAACTTAAATACCAACTATGTAATGATAATTCCTGCATCTGCATGCCAGCACACCTCTTACCTCCAGATCTATACATCCAATCACCAATTTGTCGGATATCTGGATATCCAACATCAACCTTTGTTGAGTCTCAGGTAATGGTCGCTTCATTCTGTTGGTTTCAGCAAATGCCTTGGTATCATCCTTGACTACTCTTTTCTCTCACAGTCTGCATTCAGGCCTCATAAAGTTCTGTTGGTCTTTCTACAGAATGATCTCTTGCCTGGAGTTTTACAAAAGCCCCCTTGCTGGTCTCCCTGCTTCAGCCCCTTCCCCACTCAGTCCGCAGCAGCTAGAATGGTCCTGTTTAAAACACAGCAGATTATTTCACTCCTCTGCTTAAAAATTAAAACAGAGAAAACCCAACCCCCTAGGATCACAAGCTCAGGTCCTTACTAAAATCTACAAGGTCATCTGTAGGTGACCTGCCCAGTTATGTCTCTGCCTGCAGCTCTTAATGTTTTCCTCTGTATTTACTGGGTTCCAGCCACAGTGGCTTCCATGCTGTTCCTCTATCATGCCAGAGGCATCTCCGCCTCAGCACTTTGCAAGCAGAACATTCTGCGTTCAGTGTCTGCGGGGCCAGCTCCTTCAATTCCCTTGGAGCTTGGACACTGTAATTAAAATTTCCACACCAACACCCAGCCCAACATTTCATACCTTCCTTTGCTTTGTGATTCCTTCTTACCACCGTTACTATCTAATAAACTATATATATAATATATATATATATATATATATATATATAAAATACCTTATTTACTTATTGACTATCACTTCATATAAGAGTATGAGAGCAGGAAGCTTGTTTGTTTCATTCACTACTGTATCCTCATTATGTTCAACAGTACTTGGCATATAGTAGATGTTCAATTAATATTTGGTCATTGAAAGAAAGAAAGAATATCTGACTCCCTATTATTTTTTAGATGGTTCCAAACAAAAGTTTAACATATGGCATGGAAACACTTTATGTGTCTATAATCTGCAAATAGCATTCAAAAGTTTCCAAGAGAAATGTGGGATAGCTCTGACAGCTCATACTAGGACTGAGGTTCTAGGAGTTCAGTTTCTGTCATTTAAATGGTGCTGTGTCTGAGTTTCAGTTTGCTCATCTGGTGAATGGGAATCAGAAGCATCTGCCTTGCATGCTTAGCCTGGATGTGTCTTCTACCTCCACAGGTTATCAGAGCTTCTTTCTCGAGAGCTCCTGGGCTACCCCTGCTTATGATCAATGGTTCTTCTAGGGTATAATACTCAGTGTGCAAATATAAAGTGAGGGACTTGACATCAAGGCAAAGAACTGGATTTGACTGCAGTTTCAGAATAAGCCAACAGAGGGCATGGCTGCCTAAATTGCTAAACTTAGCTGCATCCTTTAACAGAGTTTTAGAACACGGAAAGCAATAGGCAGGCCCTGGCAGAGTAAGAACACATTTTGGTCAAGTATCCTATTCTGGGGGAAAACATGGCTGTGTGCAAGTTATGGAATCTTCTGGAAATAGCATCATATAAAAAATGTCTGAATGAACCAGCAAATATTTAGGATTAGAGAAAGAGGAAGAGACAGACTCTCCTTGACCACAAGAGCCCCTCCACTTTCCACCAGCCCTTTTTTCACTCTCCCCACAGTAAGTGTATTGGAGAAGTTGTCTTTGCATATGACCTCTGTAATTTTAACCTACACCATCTTCATGAACTACTCCATTCAGCAGCCATTCCCATCACCAGACCTAAACTCCTATGACCTACTTTCTGGCTTTCCCCCTGCTGCTGGGACCCACTTTTCCACTTCTTGGCTATTCTACTCACCCCTGTGGTTCAGTCCTGTGCCCACTTCCCACATGCATGTTCAGGGTCTAGATGACAACGTATATATTCTCATAGCTTTAAATGGCAACAAGATGCTGACAATTCCCAGTCTAGTCAGCTGTATCCACTTGCCAATTCACCATCTGCATTTAACAACTCAGAGGCTTATTATGATTAACACAAATTCAAACTCTTGATCCAACAACCATTTTCAATTAAGTTTCCCTCAGTCCTCCGCCGCCCCCCCCCCCCCCCCCCCCCCCCCCCCTTAGTAAGTGGCACCTCTGGCTACCTAATTAGAAATGTGCTAGGTGTAATATTGAAAATACTTGACTGCTGGCTGGTGATGACTGTCCAACTAGAAAGGATGGCCAGAATGCTAACCACACAGGTACTCACTCTCTGAATATCCACCTGATACATCCCTCTCTCACCTGCCACATGTAATCCACCACCAAATCCTCTCGATCCTACCTCCAAAGTACTTTTCAAATCTGTTTCCTTTTCACTTCTGTGGTGACCATCCTAATCAATTCATCATCACCAGCTGCCTCTTAACCATCATCCCCAATCATCCTCTTCCAATCTCTTGTATACAACAGCCAGTTATCTTTAACATAAAATGGATAATGGCACTCCCCTGCTTAAAACCTTACAGTGGTCTCTCTTTGTACTTGGAATAAAAGCCAGACTTCCTAATTATACACACAGAGGTCCTCCCTTAGAGGACCTGCTCCTCTAATCCCATTATCTCCTTCCATTCCATCCAACATTCCAGGTCTCTCTACCCAGAATCCCCACCCTTCCCCCACCCTACCAAAAAAACTCAGTTGGCCTGGTGTCCACTTAAATGTCGCTTTCTTTATACAAGCCTTCTTTACTACAGGAGCTTTAATTTCTCCTTTTTTCTTCTCCATAAGAATTTTTTCTTACAAATTGCAATAATACATATTTGTGTGACTGTTAACAGGACTTTTTCCCTCAGTCACAGGATTCATGAGAATAAGGACTGCTTCTCAGTATTAACATGCCTGGCACATAACAGTTGCTTCATGAGTGTATTTGTGGAATGAATGAATCCAAAACCTTCCTAAGGAATAGGGACTATGGGACTCAATTTTCTGAATTTCCACAGAACAGAGTGAGACTGATAGAGGTTACAAGGAGATTGGTTTTGGGTCCTGTTAAAGGGGGAAAAAAAAATAAGGCAGTTACAGAATGGAATGGCACAGCTTGTTAGGATATGAGCATCCCGCCAAAGCAAGCATTCAAACAGAGTCTCGAAATCTATCAATTTGGGATGTAGTAAAGGAGATTCCTATATTCAGTTGACCATGAAATATCCATCCATTATGAGGCTAAGGAAGAAAGTCAGTAAAATACTGTTTTTTTTCTTCTTCTTTTAAGTAGGCTCCATGCCCAACTTAAAGACTTGAAGTCATGACCTTGAACTCATGACTCTGAGATCAAGAGTTGGATGTTCTACCAAGGGAGATGGTCAGGCACCCCAAATACTGTTTTTTCTAAGGTATCTTCAAAAGCCAAGATTTGATGGCAACTTGCTCCTTTATTTGCTGATTTGTCTAATACATAACAGCAACACAACTAATGAATATAAACTGAGCATTTACTTTATGCTAAGTGTTCTCCTGAGTCCCTACAAAGGTAGGTACCACTATTATTTCTGTATTTGGGGCAGAGGAACTTGGAGCAGAGAGATGAAGTAACTTTCTCAAGGTCAGTTAAAGAGTGAAGGCTGGGTTCACTTCTATTTCATTTTACTCTAGAATCTTGTGCTCTTTAAAATTTTTAAAAATGTTTTTATTTATTTCTGAGAGAGTGAGAGATAGCATAAGCAGGGGAGTGTCAGAGAGAGAGGCGGATACAGAACCTGAAGCAGGCTCCAGGCTCTAAGCTAGCTGTTAGCACAGAGCCCAACGCAGGGCTCGAATCCATGAACCGTGAGATCATGACCTGAGCCGAAGTCGGACACTTAACCGACTGAGCCACCCAGGTGTCCCTAGAGTCTTGTGCTCTTAACTGTATGCAGCATGAGTGTATAGACCTGGTCTTGGACCCATACATCAGGCAATCTGACTCACAGTGCATATGATTAAGGCCACTCTAGATATGGTGTCAGGGAGGCAGAGGGGCAGAGAGATAGTTGAACAAGGCGTTGCAAATAGAGCAGATCATCTGGATGTGTGCTTGGCAACAGGTGAGAAATACCCTTGCCACCAGAGTACTCTAAGAAGAGAGCTTAGGGCGTGGGAGACATATTCCCATGGATATTCTAGAAGCACAGTTTTGTTTGTTTGTTTTTTTAACTTGAAAGACAATACCCTTTCAAGAGTCCATGAAATCAACCATATAAATTGTGAAACCAAAGTCACAGTTCTATTTGGGTAAAAATTAATTTTTTTTAAATCTAGCGAGAGAATATAAAACACCTCTAACAGCACCATCTTACAGGAAAAACTCACATCCCTCCAAATCTGAAGGCCTCTTGCTCAGCTGCCAATCCTGAAATAAAAAGGCCACTCCCGGCCACTGATAATATTAAATCCTAGGGAATTACCTAGGACCCCTGGGGCTGTTCAAGCTCCTATTTTGTAGGAGTGGAAGCCAAGAAGCTAGATGGGAAATGTGAAGGATTTTCACTGACAGCTTGGCCTTCTGTAGGAAGGCAAGGAGAGCATAAACTCATCACCCTCAGAATGACTTTAAAGGCCTAAGGCAGTCTTAGAGTTGATTGGTCTTCCCAGGGATTGACTTACAAAAGACCATAATCTGATCTTGGAAGGGTATGTATGTTCAGCTGC